TTTTTTTGCTTTTTTTTTTTTTAATTTCAGACCGCTTTGTTATAGGATCATATGTTCATAATTTTATCACTATATGTTCATAATTGTAAGTTCATAATGTCAAAACTCTGTGTTCATAAGTCCATAACTGTACATTCATACTTCCATAACTGTACATTCAAAATTCCGTAACTGTACATTCATAATTCAATAACTGTAAATTCATAATTTTCGAAACTCTATGTTCACAATTTTAGAGCTCTATGTTCATAATTTTATCACTATATGTTCATAATTGTAAGTTCATAATGTCAGAGCTCTGTGTTCATAATTCCATAATTGTACATTCATAATTTCATAACTGTACATTTATAATTTCACAAACGAATAACGCCGTTAACGGCGAGACAAAATTAATTTTTTTTTAACTGGAATGCCGTCGTTTTTTCTAAAAACGATGTCATTTTGGACTCGTGTCTACAATGCATTATGGACACGAGTCCACAGCATAATTTGCGCCAACCCTGAGGGTCCCCCACCACTCCGATCCTAAGGAATTCTAATTTTTATCGATATTAAGAGTGTTTAATAAAAATAAGTCTCTAAGAGCATCCTCAACCGTTGTGATTTTTGAGGAGTTTTTGCTGATGTGATTAGGAAAGAGAAAATGAGATGAAAGAAAAAAAAAAGGGAAAAACAAAAAAAAAAATTGATTTTTTTTTTTAAAGAAACTTGCATTCTGGGTAGGGGGTGCATCGGTCGGTTCGGTTCAGTTCGGGTAGGCGGATGGACAACCCTATCGGATATCGGATATTATTATGTAAATCCTATTTCATTCTATAATTTAAGAAATCTAATCGGTTTTAGTAATTATCGGATGGGGTAGGTTCGGTCAGATATCCGATTTAAATTCGGATTATTGGATATTAATGAAATAACTAAATAATTGAATAAAACACTTTAAATATAAAAAGTTAAAAAAAATATTACAAAAGAACATACAAAATTACATGCAATGCAAAAATTACTTTTCCAATGAATCTGCAATATTACACATTTACATGCAATTACAGATGACAATAGAGTTATCATTAATACAAAAAAAACATACTAAAAACATACTAAGTTGTCATTTGCAATTACAGGGCGTTTGGTTGGAGGGATTTTAAATTCCCTTCCCACTTAATTCCCACCTAATTCCAAAGACCATTAAATTCCGTAGTTTGGTTGGAGGGAATTGCAATTCCATGGAATTTCAATTCCCCCATTTTCATGGAATTAAAATCTCATGTCCCCCCCCCCCCACCCCCCCACCCCTGGGATTTTAATTCCTGGGAAAAAAAGATAGTGATGAGTCAAAATTACCCCTTCATTTTTTAACCTAAAATTAATGTCTAACAACAATAATGGACATTTTTTACTTTATACTACTTATTCCCTTTCAATTCCCATGTATACCAAACATTGGAATTGAAATTCCCAGTAATTATATTCCTGTCAACCAAACACTGGAATTTAAATTCCCAGTAATTCAACTCCCATGGAATTACAATTCCTTTCCCACATAATTCCCCCCCCCCCCCCCTCCAACCAAACGCCCTGTTAAAGATCTGAATATACAAAAGTACAAAACATACTAAGTTCAGTAAGTTGTCATTGGATGATCTGCTTCTGCAAAAACATACTAATTACTAAGTACATACAAATCTGAAATCTGAAAAAAAAAAAAAAAAAAAACAAAAACAAAAAAAAAAAAAAAAAAAAAAAACTACTTTTTCAATTTCCACTGTAGTTCCTAGTCTTCCTAGTTCCTATTGTTCTTCTTCTTCCTATAAACACTCAAAACTTAAGCAAAGTTAGCAATAAGCCAAATAGCCAATAACAATAGCATTATTGAGCAATAGAATATAATTAGACAAATATAAACTTGGCTCAGTAAACTTTTTATCCATATCAAAGTTAGGATTAAAGGGGAAATTGCTACAACATCCCCATGAGGATGGAGCAACATACCAGCTTAATCCCTTAGGGTCCGTTTGGAAAGCAGGAAAATGACTTCTGGAAAATGTTTTCTGGAAAATGAGTCATTTTCCAGAAAATATTTTCCTTTCCAGTGTTTGGTTGCATTCTGGAAAACTGTTTTTATGTGTTTGCTTCATTTTCTGGAAAATGAGTGGAATTGTATAATTAAACATTTTAATTATTTTATTTAGAATATTACAACATGTATAATAATATATAATAATAATATAATAATAACAAAAAAAATAACAAAAAAATAACTAATAATATATCAAAATATTATGGTGGTGGTGGTGGTGTAGTGGTAGTGGTGTTATTTGTTATATAATAATAATAATAATAATAATAATAGTAATAATAATAATAATAATAATAATAATAATAATAATAATAACTGGTGGTGGCAGTGGTGGTGGCGGTGGTATGGTGGTGGTGGCGACGGTGGTTGCGGTGGTATGGTGGCGGCGGCGGCGGTGGTGGTATGGTCGTGGTGTTGACGGCGGTGGTGTGATGCTGGTGGTGGTGGTATGTTGGTGGTGGTGGTGGCGGCGACGGTGGTTGCGGTGGTATGGTGGTGGTGGTGGCGACGGTGGTGGTGGTTGCGGTGGTATGGTGGTGGTGGCGACGACGGTGGTTGCGGTGGTGGTGTAGTGGTGGTGGTAGCGGCGACGGTGGTTGCGGTGGTATGGTGGTGGTGGTGGCAATGGGGTGGTGGTAGTGTGATGGTGGTGGTGTGGTGGCGGTGGTATGGTGGTGGTGGTGGTGGCGGCGATGATGGTTGCGGTGGTATGGTGGTGGTGGTGGTATGCTGTTGATGGTGTTGGTGGTGGTAGTGGTTGCGGTGGTATGGTGTTGGTGGTGGTAGTGGTGGTTTTGTGATGGTGGCGGTGTGGTGGCGGTGGTATAGTGGTGGCGGCGGCAGTAGTGGTGGTGATGGTGGTAGTGAGGTGGTGGTGGTATGGTGTTGATGATGTTGGTGGTGGTGTGATGTTGGTGTAAAAGTTGGAAAATGACTTCCCCCCAAAAAAAGGGGAAGTCATTTTCCTCCAAAACAAGCTTATTTTCCAAAGTCAACGGAAAATGATTTCCGTTGACTTGATTTTCCAGGCACATTCAAACAGTGAAAACTTGGAAAATGATTTTCAGAACTCATTTTCCAGGTTTCCAAACACACCCTTATTTTTCAAATCATTGGTGGAAGCTTTCATCATGGCCACGATAATAAAAGTATAAAACATACTAAAATAGTAAAATGTGCCAACTGCCAACTTACCAACAATGTTACAAATTACAATGGCAGTAACTAATTAAATTAGTTACCAAGCCAGCTGCAAGCAAGCCTCATGAATAACAGAAATACAATATAAATGTATAACATAATACATTCAAACAGAAACAGGAGTTGAAAGTATAAAGTACAAAGCATAGCATTACAGGAATTGTAGCAAGTATAGAACCACCACTCCTTCCAGTTCCACTGCCACCATCAGTACCAATTTCTGCAACAACAACAAAAAATAAATAAATAAATAAATAAATAAATAAAGAATAGAATGTAAAATTTATAAGGAAATAAGTAAATAAAACTTGCAAGAATATTAGGCAGTGTTAACAGTTTAATGTGTTACCTTGTTCAAATCTCTCTAATTCCTCCAGATTTTCTCAATTGATAAGGGGGTATTTGGTAGCCTAAGCCAATCATGAGTACAGACCAATTCCACAATTTTAGGAGTTAATGAACTCCTAAAAGGATCTAAAACCCTCCCAGATATACTGAAGGCAGATTCTGAGGCAACAATAGATATTGGTATAGCTAAGACATCCCTAGCTATCTTAGAAATGATAGGAAATCTTTCAGCATTCAACTTCCACCATCTAAGTATGTCAAAAGAAGTTTCCTCTTCAACTATTGCCTCAGCAAGGTAAATTTCTAACTCTGTTTTTTTTTTTTTTTTTCATTCCTCCACTCTCCAATCTTTGTTTCTTAATCTAACTTTAACAAATGTTGGGGCCTCCTAATTGTAGACTGTGAAAAATCATTAGGAGTACTGACAGAACCAGTAGTGGCAGAAGTAGGAGTAGAGGCAGCATAATCATTAAGCAACTCTTTCAAAGCTGCAATCACTTTCCCTACAAAAAAAAAAAAAAAAAAAAAAAAAAAAAAAAAAAAAAAAAAAAACTGCAATCACTTTCTCATAGTAGGGTTTACCTTTTACCTCACCATACATGTGATTTATTTATTTATTTATGTCGTTAGTTTGTGAGATGGAAAAGACAATATTATCGTTGTTAAAATGGGGAGTAAAATTTTTCGGCAAAAATTAAACGAAAAATGCACCGCAAGGACAAAATTTGCTAAGAAAGTCATAGTCGTGAACCAATTCTACAAGTTTTAAAAGTCGTGGGTCAAAGTTGTTAGTGACACCATAGTCGTGGGACCAAAAGTGTAAAAAACTCTAATATTATGCTCAAAATTTCAATTTAGTCGTAACCAAAAATAAACTCAATACTAGAATTACTTTTTAATCCTTATATTTCTAAAATATCTTTAATTAGTTTAAAGAAATCTTTCAATCTCAACCATCCATTGGGAATGTGTTAATGGATGTGATGAGATCTCATGATCTCATATATCATGGTGGTCCCACTGGAACCGCAGTATATCATTAGCCTGAATGTCGTGTGTATAGCCGGATGTAGTCGTGTACAACAATTTGTATGTCGCGTGCATTGATTTGTTAATTAATAGAGTCTGGGTTCGAAACTTGTGTCATTATATATTAAATTGTGTGCCTAATATTAATTTATTGTGTGCCCATTATTTGTCTGCATAGTCCTCTATATATTGTGGTCCTTATTGGAAGTCAACACTATATATATATATATATATATATATATATATATATATATATATATATATATATATATATATATATATATATATATATATATTACATTGGCAAAGAAGTTTATAAAACACAGAAAATAGAAAAGAAAAATGTGCGGGTGGCCAATCAGAAGCAGCCATAGTTTTGCGTACTTATCCGCTCTCAGATTTTCCGTTTTCTCCTGTACAGTGCACAGAATTACAAGGGAACTTCCAGGCTTCCAAATGACCTGAAACCACCAAAAACCCCAAAATCTCTATCAGATCTTTCTTCTCCGGGGAATAGATATTTGGAAATGGCGGCCATAGCGTCCGCTGTGTCGCTCTCATTCGCACCAAAGCCCACTTCTTCAGTGGCCGCTTTTTCTTCCTCTAGCTCATTGTTCTTCAGCAGCAACCCGGGCGGGCTCAAACGGAGTTTGGGTCTGAGAACTTGTAATGTTAGGAGCAATGGTAGAAAGCGTCTTTATTGCAACTGCTTATTCGGGCTTGGGGTGCCGGAGCTGGTGGTCATTGCCGGTGTCACCGCCCTTATCTTCGGCCCTAAGCAGTTGCCCGAAATCGGCCGCGGTCTTGGCAAGACCCTCAAGAGCTTCCAACAGGTCTATTTCTTCTCTATATTCCCCCTCCTGTTATCTCCAATCGTTCAAGATTTAATTGGGAGAGTATATGCTTTTGATTACTTAATTGGATGTTCAGATTTTGAAATGAGATTTTAGCAGTTTTTGGTGTGGTCAAAGTTTGATTCTATGATTGCCCCATGTTAACTAAAATGACAATGGATCATTGCAAGTGTCTATATAGCCTCTTATGCTAATTTTGGAAGATTGGTTGGTTGTCTTGTTTATAGTTTTAGTGTCATATCCACATTCTAATTTTAAGCCATATTTGATATGTTTTTGTAGAACTAAATTAAGGTGTAATGAGTAATGGTGTTTGAGGATTTTAATCACATAGATGTTGTTGGGGGAGGCTCGTGAAGGGTCAAGTTCAGCACCATTTGACTGGGGATTGTTGGGCGCAGACCCATGAAGGGCCAAGTCCAACACCTCTTTCTCGAAAACTTCACGGTATATAAGGAAATAAAGTTGTGCCTTTGTTACGAGTTATAACTCTTGACATAATGGTAAGCACTTGATACTAACAGATGTCATAACAATGGAAGAGTTTATCAAACTATGCCATACTAGCTTCAATTATAATACCATCAACAAATGTTTTCATTTATATCATTGATAATACTTGTGGAATATATTCTTTCTACAATTCGATGGATAGGAATTTAGCTTAGTGCAAATTTGCAACTGGTCAACACTAGCTTAGTAGCTTGTGCCTTTGTTTGAGATGTTCTGTGCCAAGAACCATACATGACAAAGCAAAATGAATTGAAGCTGTGGATGTTGAAATCAACTTTCCACTGATGATATAGTGGCAACTAGTAGACTTGTTTTAGTCCTTTAAAGCCATACAAAGCAGATCTTGTTTAGTATTTGTTAGGATGAAGCGCTTACCACTCACGCCAAAAGCTATAGCTGGTAGCAAAGGCGCAACTTATTTCTTTACTTATAGACCGTCATCACATTGTTCGAGACAGACTGGGTGCTGGAATTGGCCCTTAGGGGCTTTATCGACCTCCACCCAACAATCGCTAACCACTGGGTACTAGACATGGCCCCTTTACCGGCCCTGCCCAACAGTATTTCTTCCTTTGGCTGAAAAAATGTATCTGAATTGCATGGATGCAGGCAGCAAAAGAGTTTGAAACAGAGCTGAAAAAAGAACCTGATGAACTCCCTGTGAAAGAAGGTGGTGAAGAAGAGAAACCAGATGCTGTGGTGTCAAGTACAAAGGAGAGTTGATAATCTTCAATGCTACTGGCCTGCTTCTGTTAGCTAGATCACTTCTTCTGTGTGCTATTCCATTCAGACATTGTCTTGTTAAGTTGGGGTTATAGTGTTTGGTTTGGAAGATCAAATCATGTTTTTTTTTTTTGGGGTAATGATAATTTATAGTATTAACTCAAAGAATACAAACACACGGGGCATACCTCGGTCCATGAAAAAAATTCACAAAAATATGATCCACAAACAATATTAATGGTGGTATGCCAAGCTGGTTTGTTGTCCAGTAAGACATTTAATTTCAGAGAAAAGCTGGTTTGTTTTGCAATGGTTAACCTGGATTACATAATCCAGGAAAAGTAGTAGCTACGAATCACAAAAGAGAGGATACTCAAATACTCAATTGGCAAGAACAAACAGAATATTCTGCTTCTCAAGTGGGAAATATGCTTTTGGGCCACACTTTTTGTGGGCCTCTCCAAAATGGGCCACGCCATTCCATGCTGCTATATCCAATACTAACACGCGCCGGTGGAAGAATGATTGATTCATTGTATACGTCACGTTACCGATCACGTAACAACGCACACCCACTTAGCTTCTATGGCCTAGCCAATCTTTCTTTCTTTCTTTCTTTATATTTTTTTCCCTAATTAAAATTTTCAAATACAATATTGCAATTTGCAAAAGAAATATGCCCTAGAAAATTCAAGTAGTTTTTTTTTTTTTTTTTTAAGACATTTCAATGATTTTGTTGACAGAGGACAAAAATGGTCATGCCACAAATCAGAATAATACTAAGATCAAAATGAGATGTTTTGAAAAAGAATGAATAAAAGTGGACTATCACCTATAAATTTAAGACAAAAAATAGAATTAATTCTTGATTCTCATTATCATTTCGATTCCAATTTTTGAATCAAACACACCCTAACAACGCGTTTGGGGGAGGGGGAGGGGGATTACATGGAAAAAGAATTGCAATTCCATGGGAGATGAATTACTGGGAATAAAGTGGGAATTTAAATTCCAGTGTTTGTTTTATAGGAATAGAATTACTGGGAATTTAAATTCCAGTGTTTGTTTTATAGGAATATAATTACTGAGAATTTCAATTCCAATGTTTGGTATACATGTGAATTGAAAGGGAATAAGTAGTATAAAGTCCAAAATGACCATTGTTGTTGTATTAATTTTAGATTTAAAAAATGGAGGTAATTTTGTCTCATCACTAACTTTTTTTTTATTCTTAAAATCCTAGAAATTAAAATCACAGGGGAACATGGGATTTTAATTCCATGAAAATGGGTAAATTGCAATTCCTTCCAACCAAACTAAGAAATTTTATTGCTTTTGAAATTAGATGGGAATTAAGTGGGAGGGGAATTTAAATTCCTTCCAACCAAACGCCCTGTAAATTCCATTCCCCCAACTAGCCTAAGAATGTGTAGTGTTTGCAAAACTATGAGGTGTAAGATTCACAGATCTTCTAATGTGCTGAATATTATACTACCGATCAAATTAATCAAAGATATGCATTATTTGATAACAAGCTCAGCATACGATGAATTACTTATTTTATGGTTGATACCATAACAATGGCCGGTTTAGATAATCTATTTTCAAAATAATATTGTGTTAGTATCGACTCTTTAAAGGACTCTTACCAAATTATGATTCTTACCCCAAATTATGATTCTTGACACTACATGAGAGCAAGCCATTACGCGTTGCAACAAAAGCTCTTTGGTCTTTGAAGAGTGCCATACCGAAACTAAAATTATCAAACTCCAAAGAAAGGGACGTATTGAAGTTGCATTTTAAGGCCAATGAGAACGGTTGGCAAGGTAGACACGGTTCTAAAATTGTGAATATAGAGTTTAAAAATTATGAACATAGAGTTCTATAATTATGAACATAGAGTTTTGTAATTGTGAATATAGAGTTTAATAATTGTGAATATGAAATTTAAAAATTATGAACATAAAGTTTTATAATTATGAACATAGAGTTCTGTAATTGTGAATATAAAGTTCAATAATTGTGAATATGAAGTTCAAAAATTATAAGTATAGAGTTTTATAATTATGAACATAGAGTTCAGTAATTATGAACATAGAACCGTGTCCACCTTGCAAGGTAGACACGCTTCCACGGCATAACAATTGATTGCTTATTCTCCCAAACTAAGTTGTTGCGAGCTTGCCCAAAAAGCCCACATTAAGGGTGTATTCAATTATTATTTTGTTACAGCATGTTTGGTTTCAGGGCCGGCCCTGACCATGTGCTACAGTGAACCATGATGAAACTGTAGTAGAGTTAAAATGATACTTTATTAATTTAGTGTTGATAAAATGAAACTAGTGTGTGAATTGAAATTTCCTAAATCGAACTGAATATCGAATCGAGCCAATTCTAAATCGAAATCAAACTTTTTCAAATCGAACCGAACTACAATTTTAAATCAAATGGTTTCATTTTTTAAAACCGAACAAACCGAAATCGAAAAAAAATCATACCAAATATCGAAAAGTCCACCCCTAACAAATACACACACACTAGTCATTTTCACATGCAATCTACGAAGATTTGAGCTTAATATTAAAATCATAATTTAAAATTTATTAAATAAAAATACTTATCAATAAAATAATATTAAAATATTATTTTTAACTCATCATAGTTATACTTGTAAAATTCCTCTATTTTGAAAAAAAAAAAAAAACAAAACAAAAAAAAGAGATACTATTTGAAGAATATGAAATTAATTATTACCATACTATTTTTGTTTATAATGGAAAAAAAAGAAGTAATTTAAATATGTTAGCAAATAATTTTGAGATAAAACTAATTAAATAACTAATAAATATGATATGATTATATAAATTGTTAAAATATTGCCTTTAATAAATGCTCTTTAAATAGTATTAACAAAAGACTAACAAGGCATTTGGTTGTAGAGAATTTAAATTCCATTCCTACTTAATTCCAAAGGCCATTAAATTCCTTAGTTTGGTTGGAAGGAATTGCAATTCTATTATTTTCATGGAATTAAAATCTCATGTCTCCCCTTGGATTTTAGGAGAAAAAAATTATGAGACAAAATTACCTCTCAATTGATGCCTGGCAACAACAATGGACATTTTGGACTGTATACTACTTATTCCCTTTCAATTCCCATGTATACCAAACATTGAAATTGAAATTCCTAGTAATTTTATTCATGTAAACTAAACACTGGAATTTAAATTCCCACTTTATTCCCAATAATTCATATCCCATGGAATTGCAATTCATTTCCCACGTAATTCCTTCCCTCTAACCAAACATCACGTAATTCTGTTATAACTGAATTGGGGTAATTTTATCTTAATATAATATTTTAATTTTAATGTACAAACATATTAGCCTTAAAAATATGGACAAAAATCATAGATATAATATGGATTCATATATATATATATATATATATATATATATATATATATATATATATATATATATATATATATATATATGTGTGTGTGTGTGTGTGTGTGTGTGTGTGTGTGTGTGTGTGTGTGTGTGTGTGTGTGTGTGTGTGTGTGTGTGTGTGATAACACTTATTAATAAAATATATGTAATTTTGTATACTACACCTTTGACTTGACCATGCAAGATAGTAGAGGGGTTAATCACGATGACTTTACGACTTGGGATGACCAGTGTTTGGTGCCTACAAGGAGCCCACCACATTGGAGGTAACTCTCACACTACGATTATCCAGACTCGATTCTATGTTATTGTTCATAATCTGTTACTCAAGAGCTAACTGAGCTACCCATGCGCACAATATAGTAAAAGAAGTTTTTGAATGCATAGTTGGCATATTTCTCGTGTAGTGGATCTAATTAGAGTAAATACTCAAAATGGTCTCTTGGCTATAGTTAAATTCACAAATTAGTCTTCGACTTTCAATTTCAACCAATTAAGTCCTTAACTTTGTAATTTTAACACAATTTGATCCTCTGTCTATTTGACCGTTTGTTGACTGTGATTTTTGAAGATATATATGTAATTTCATGGTCCATCGTCGGTTTTTTAAGGTTCCGGTTGCAATTCTAGACCGCAATGTTACATTCGAATCCACTACCGAAAGCAATCTACCAAATTCGGTCGCCTTTCTTCATCCTCCCTTTGGATTCAGTGTAGTTGAGTTCGTACCAGAGCGAAGAAGACGACGTGTTTCCAAACCGGTGCAACGTCATCCTGGAGGCCTCCACGTGCTCCGACGAGAGCTGAAGGTTCTTCTGGAGATCGTCGATCACAGTCAACAAATGGTCAAATAGACGGAGGACTAAATTGTGTCAAAATTGCAAAGTTAAGGACTTAATTGGTTGAAATTGAAAGTCGATGACTAATTTGTGAATTTAGCTATAGTCGAGGGACTATTTTGGGTATTTACTCATCTAATTATTATGAAAGTTATCAATATTATGTATCATTATCTATATTCTATATATATATAGAGAGAGATATTGAGATTTTGATATGGATGTTGCTATTTGTACCACCCTTAGGTGTAAATAATTTTGAAATTTTAAAAAGGTGAAAAATTTCAACAATTTCATAGGTGGTGTAAATAGCAATTAGGGTGTAAATATGGCTATTTACACCACCCTGGTCAAATGTCATTTAATTACACAAAAAATTAGGTTTTGGAATTAGATTTTTTTTTTTTTTAAGTATTAGAATTAGAAATATTATTTTAATAAATTTAAATTAAATTTAAAAATTAAAATTAAAAAAAAAAAAAAAAAAAACCCTCGCAGAGTAGGGTTTTTTTATTTTTATTTTTTTTAAATGTTTTTATTTTAATATTCATTATGTTAAGTTAACATTGACAGGACGGTACACAATGCCTACTAATAGTTATGATGTGCAACCATGTGCACCATGCATGGTGCACACGGTTGCAAAACGACGTCGTTTTGACTAAAAACGCGCGTCCCATTTAAAAAAAAAAAATCAGTTTCGATTCCCCTCAACAGCATTATGTTGTTTATTCATTGTGGATATTTAGTTCATTCATTGTGGATATTTAGTTCATTCATTCTGGATTTTGTGTTATTCATTCACTGTGGATATATAGTTATGAATTTGTGGATATATAGTTATGAATTTGTGAATACATAATTCAAATTATGCACAAAAAATGATATTACCGGGAATCGAATTTAATTTTTTTTTTAAGTGGGACGCGCGTTTTTTGTCAAAACGACGTCGTTTTTGCAACCGTGTGCACCATACATGGTGCACACGGTTGCACAACATAATTTGCGCAATGCCTACCATTGCTCCACAATAGGCTTATTTTATTAGTCTAGATGCATGGATTACTCCATATGTGAATCGGATCAATAGTTACAATGAGCATGTACTTATGAAAATGTTATATTAGATTGAAATGGAATGAAATTTTCTTTTTATATTTTTTTGTGATGTTAATGTGTTTTTACATTTTTTAGCAATTGAAAATTAATTTATTATATTTTTATAATAATGTAAAATAATGCATACAAAAGATTTGAGTTATAAATTAAAGAATATTAGAATAACAAAAAAAAATAAAATTAATTTTATCATTAAAATTTATTAAATGTTAGATACTACACAAAATAATTAAAAAATATATAGACAAAATTATTATACTATTACAATTTGAAATAAAAATAAATAATAAATAATAAATAATTTAAATAAAAACATAATGTTTTACTAACTTTAAAGAAGGTGGTGCAAATAACAAATTGTTCTATTTACACCATCTATAAAGCTAGCAAACCTATCAAAAGGTGGTGTAAATAACAATTAAGATTGTGCAAATAGAATTCACTTCTGATATAGATAATTAGTAGATATTATATGGTTACTTGATAAGGCAGATCTTAAATTATTTATTATCTATATTAGAATTGTTTATAATTTCATCTTTAATCTTATTATTTAAATATATAATAAAAAATTTATCTTGTACGGGTAATTTATTAGTTTCTAATATGATAAAAGTAATATCTAAACCCTATAAAACTTATTTAAAATCATGTACGTAAATGATGTTTGCAATTAACAATTAATGACAATTTAATTGGATCTAATAATACTTCAAGATGAATCCTTTGATAGATTATTTCAACCCTATTTAGAAATTAACTCTCATTTTGACAATTTGCCTTTTTCCCTTCAACAAATTAAGGAGGGTTTCCTTGAACTCTATGAAATATGCATATATACCCAATAAATGATGTCGACCAAACAACTACATTAATTAACTTCTTGACCTTCCAATGAAGTAAAAACTTTTTAAAATTAAAATTAGTACTACACCCAAAAAAAAAATTAAAATTAAAATGAGTACTACTACATGCAGACCATCAAACGTCTTGGATTGTTTAACTGATTTTTAAAAAAATTACTAATTCTTTTTTTTTTTAATAAAAAATTGGTTATTTTATTAAACTAATAAAAGAAAAAAAAAATACATTAAGAGAAGGGGAGGATAAATTAAAGCAAACCCCACAAACTATTGGGGAAACTAATGTGGGAAACCCTTTTCGAAATCAAACACTTTGATTTAGTCTTTGATTTCTTAGGCCATTCACACCCTTGAAAGGGGGTGTGGATTGCAATCTTGTGTGACTATTTATTATGTAATTTTATTTTATTTTTTAAATTTCATATGAGCTTTGGACACTTGAAAACTTGCAAAGGCATCACCTTGCCATGGCAAATTATGTTGTGCATACGGATGCAAAAACGACGTCATTTTGTATCAAAACACGCGTCCTACTTAAAAAAAAAAAAATCAATTTCGATTTCCAGCATCAACATTATGTTATTTATTTTTTAGTTCATTCATTCTGGATTTTTAGTTATGAAATTCTGGATGTGTAGTTCTGCAATTCTTGATTTTATAATTATGAAGTTATGGATGTGTAGTTATGCAATTCTGGATGTATAGTTATGAAGTGTTGGATGTGTAGTTATGCTATTCTGGATTTATAGTTATGAAATTATGGATGTGTAGTTATGTAATTCTGGACATATAGTTATGAAATTATGGATGTGATGAAATTATGGATGTATAGTTATGTAATTCTGATTTTTTTTTTAAAAGTTAAATGTCAAAACGACGTCGTTTAGCAAGCTATGACTCAATTTTATAGTTATTTAATATTTTAAAACTTTTTATTATTTTATTAATATTATATTATGTCATTTTAAAAATTTATTATATAATTGCAAAAATAATTATGGAATACAAATTTATTTAAATAATGATGTAATACAAATTATGTTACTTTTAATATTTTGAAAATATTTATACATAATTTGAATTTTTAATTTTCAAAATATTTGAAAGTAATTTATATATTGATAGAAGAGGAACAATTGTGAGAAGGAAATAATATTTTTAGATAATGTAAACGCACACATTTTACTTTTTAAATATAACCGAAAGAATAAAGAAAATCATAAAACACCTCAAAACATGAAAATAATACTCTAACATTGATCGAATCTAGACAAATTTTAAATCAACTTTTTTCAACACAACGGAAAGACCAATAAAAGAATCTTAAAATATCTCAAAAAATATGAAAAGTGATACTCTAACGTTGATTAAATGTGAATAAATTAACTTTTTTTAAATAGGAAACACCTCAAGAAACGTGACAACGTTACTCTAACATTGATTGAAAGTAGAGAAACTAACTTTTCTTAATGCGACGAAAAGAACAATAAACCAATCTCAAAACATCACAAAAAATGTGACAATGGTACTCTAACATTGATTGAATGTGAAAAGGAGTTGATGAACCAGTCGGCAACGACAACAATGAAAACCCAAGTTGATAAGGACGAACCAACCAGTGTATAACTCGACTTTTTTTAGCAAGCTAGGACTCAATATTATTGTTATTTAATATTTAAAAACTTTTTATTATTTTATTAATATTATATTATGTCATTTTAAAAATTTATTATTTAATTGCAAAAATAATTATGGAATACAAATTTTTTTAAATAATAATGTAATACAAATTATTTTACTTTTAATATTTTGAAAATATTTATACATAATTTCAATTTTTAATTTTCAAAATATTTGAAAGTAATTTATATATTGATAGAAGAGGAACAATTGTGAGAAGGAAATAACATTTTTAGATAATGTGAACGCACACATTTTACTTTTTAAATATAACCGAAGGAATAAAGAAAATCATAAAACACCTCAAAAACATGAATATAATACTCTAAAATTGATCGAATCTAGACAAATTCAACCAACTTTTTTCAACACAACGGAAAGACCAATAAAAGAATCTTAAAATATCTCAAAAAATATGAAAAGTGATACTCTAACGTTGATTAAATGTGAATAAATTAACTTTTTTTAAATAGGAAACACCTCAAGAAACGTGACAACGTTACTCTAACATTGATTGAAAGTAGAGAAGCTAACTTTTCTTAATGCGACGAAAAGAACAATAAACCAATCTCAAAACATCACAAAAAATGTGACAATGGTACTCTAACATTGATTGAATGTGAAAAGGAGTTGATGAACCAGTCGGCAACGACAACAATGACAACCCAAGTTGATAAGGACGAACCAACCAGTGTATAACTCGACTTTTTTTAGCAAGCTAGGACTCAATATTATAGTTATTTAATATTTAAAAACTTTTTATTATTTTATTAATATTATATTATGTCATTTTAAAAATTTATTATTTAATTGCAAAAATAATTATGGAATACAAATTTTTTTAAATAATAATGTAATACAAATTATTTTACTTTTAATATTGTGAAAATATTTATACATAATTTCAATTTTTAATTTTCAAAATATTTGAAAGTAATTTATATATTGATAGAAGAGGAACAATTGTGAGAAGGAAATAACATTTTTAGATAATGTGAACGCACACATTTTACTTTTTAAATATAACCGAAAGAATAAAGAAAATCATAAAACACCTCAAAAACATGCATATAATACTCTAAAATTGATCGAATCTAGACAAATTCAACCAACTTTTTTCAACACAACGGAAAGACCGATAAAAGAATCTTAAAATATCTCAAAAAATATGAAAGCGGGTACTCTAACATTGATTAAATGTGAATAAATTAACTTTTTAAAAACAGTAAACACCTCAAAAAACGTGACAACGTTACTCTAACATTGATTGAAAATAGAGAAACTAACTTTTCTTAATACGACGAAAAGAACAATAAGCCAATCTCAAAACATCCCAAAACATGTGACAATGGTACTATAACATTGATTGAATGTGAAAAGGAGAGGATGAACCAGTCGGCAACGGCAACAATGACAACCCATGTTGACAAGGATGTAACGGAAAGAATATTAAAAAATCTTAAAACACTTCAAAACACGTGACCCGGGTCCACAGAATAATTATGAACATTCAGACCTGGATCCATAGAATAATTTGCAGGATATTGATTATTGGATTACGAATGACAGAAAAAGTATGTTGAACGGTAAAAATTTAAAAAAAAATAAAGAAATTAACTTTTTTAATATAACAGAAAGAATAAAATAATTTTAAAACATCTCAAACAACGTGACCAAGATACATTAACATAGGATGAATTTGGGAAAATCAATTATTTAAAGTTGGATGAGTACAAAATGAGATGGGCGCAGTTATTTTATTTTTCCTCCAAAGTATCAATAAAATATATTTTTTTTTTTTTTAAAAAAAACGTAAATTGTGCGGTACTAAAAGCGTTATAGAACTTTTCTGATTATATAAGTGAGGCCAATGATAGCCAGCTGTTTAAGTTTAAGTGTGCACTTGGACATCAATATAACGTAGACAGAGAACTAGAAATACGGGACACTAAACAGCGAGAGGGACGGACAGAGAGAGTATGGAAAGGGTGTTTTCTGTGGACGATATCGCCGACCAATTCTGGTTGCAGCCGCCGATTCTGCTCTCCCAGCCGGCGGAGCTCGACCTGCAGGGCTCCTCCTCCTCCTCTAGTATCATGAATCGCAGCTCCTCCGAGTGGGCCTTCCAACGCTTTCTCCAGGAGGCCTCTGTCGTTGATCACAACTCTTCTGCTTCTGCTGCGGCTGCGGCTGCTTCTTCTACCTCTATTTCGCAATCGGAGCAAGTGCCTCGTGACGAATTTCTCGAGATCAACCAGCAGAGCCTCGCTCCCAATCGGAATTCGAGTTACCGGCAAAATAACTCGGGAACGGCGGCGGCGGCGACGAATAGTAAGAGTACTAGTGCCATGGTGACTTCGTTCGGATCGACGCATGCATCGGATATTCCGGATCATTCCGAGAAGTACCAGGCATTCCTCAAAAGCCGTCTCGATTTAGCTTGCGCCGCGGTAGCTTCCCGTGTATGTATCAGTGTTTTTCTTTTCTTTTTTACTTTAATTTTTTTTCTTCTGGAAATTTTAGATTTTTCTCCCTTACATCTCCCAAACGAAGATGAACTTTTGGATTTTATTAATTGATGGTATGGGTTTGATGCTTATATTCTGCTATGATCTTAGTGAATCCAATTTTCTGCTGAGTAATAATTGGTCATTGAACAATCGTGGACTTTAGCGACTGTGTGTGTTTATATTGCTGTCTTATCTACTAGGCGATGTACTTGAGGCCTCAAGATTCAACCACCATGACGCCTGGTATAGGATCATCGGTCTCCAATACAGTGCAAACAGGGTCACAGGTGCCTCCTAAAGGTTAGTATTGTTTGTCAAAATGGTGTAAGTATGACTCATTTTAGACTCCCACCACAAACTGAGTAGTGGTCTAGTATTAACCTATCCCTTGTGCAATGTCACATTCAATATTCACTATTAAGCACTTAGAATGTTTGAGAACTTGCTGTATCTTGAATGGATTAATGTTTTGAGTGTTTTCCTTTTTAATAACTATAGCACTTTCATCTATCTTCTATATTCATATGCATATGTTCCCAAAAATGTATTTGTGTATGTATGCTCTGAGCTGTTCTGGGAGTAGAAATGCAATACTAGTAAGGGTTTAACAACAATAGTGCTGGAATAGTGGAATGTGAGACAAAGTGAAGAGGAAAATTAGAGGGGAAGGGAAGGATTTCATTAGAAGTGAGGGAAAAACGACTGAGACTTTCTAGGCAAGTTTATCACAATTTTATGATGCATTAAGACTTGTAATTAAAAAAAAAAAAAAAAAAAAGCAAAAGAATCTTATTTGGATACAACTGTTTGTTTTTAAGGTGTTGGCACAACACAACCAACAATAACTGTGGTGATTAATCAAGATTAGTACACAATTAGGGAAGGTTATTGAATGCGAAGGAATGGGGGTGTTATCAAACTTAGATGAATCGTATACAGAGTAAATGCAGTGTGTAAATGCTTGTGTTTGCCCACGGGAAGTTGAAATTATTACTGGAGTAAATTATCTTGTATTTATAAAAAATTATTAATTGTTTGTAAACTTGATGCTTGAGCTTGCAAGTTGCTGCTCGTGGCTATGCAGCTCCTTTTCATTAACTGCCTGGGTGGTGCCATTCATGCTTTTTCATTGGGCATCACCCTTTTTGCTTGCTGGAGAAGATTTGGGCACCTGTGGTGAAATGAGCGTTGGAATTGAGTGGACCAATTGCTGATATAGCATTTATAAGTTCATTCTGTTGAGGGGTTCATTTATAAGTTCATTGAATGTAGTGAATGTCTAGATGGGTTTTTTTTTTGGGGGGGGGAGGTTTCCATCTTCATTTTTTCCCCTTTGTCAACCTTTTGCCTGTTAGCCCTTAATTAATCTAAAGGATTTTAAGCTCTAAAATGAGATAGGATTATTATTAATCAATTGGCTAGAATGATGTGTACATTTGTACAAGGCAAGTTGACAATTTCCTTTGGAATTAGAATTATGTCTATTATTCACCTATTTTGGTAGTATAATAAATTTATACCCATGTAATTTATATCATTTCTGAAAAAATTATTAATCCACATAATTATGTTAATTCTATATATATATTTTCTCACTAAAATTTTCATTTTCATATTTTTAGATTGACCCCACAAAAAAGTTCTGCTTTTGTTTTAGCAAATCTTTATTGGGGTCAATAAGTAATATTCGATAAATAATACTGCCAAATACAATTAAATAACAAACACTTGTAAGGGAAATTGTGTAGTCCACTGGAGTTGGTTGAACCTATTCCATAAATTATGTGTGTCCCTGATAGGCAGAACCTGGCATTGCTTTAGTGGCAAAGCAACACAGGATACACCAAGAGGCGTTGAATGTCATTAGTATAGAGAGATTGTGCCTTTCCCACATTGATTAGATGTTTTGTACGCTTTGTATATGACATACTGTTTGAGATCAATAGATTGCCACAATCCCACAACATGTTGCGCAGAAGAGCATCAACCTTCTCCCATTCATCCTTTTTCTTAGTGATTTCATCTGCTTTCTTGGTCAAAAGATTGGACACTAAAATCATAATTTCATAGAAGCAGCTCAGGTTGCCTAATTTGCACATCCTGTTAACTTCAGAGTTCATAATTAATAATTAAACAATTTTAGCAATGGACATGCATTATTTTAAGTGTTAGAATGCATTTAGTGCCTAGGATAAAACATGATTCCTGTTTTGTAATTCATTGTGAAAATTGATTGCCCTATTTATTCTTACTATATATGTAGGATCTGAGCATGATTCACTGAAGGGGCAAGAGGAGGGTGGAGCACCAACTGGCATACCCTCCTTGCCTGCAGTGCCGAAGAAATCTAGTGGACAGGTTCGGTCAATAAGTAGCGGCTCAGAACAGTCAGATGATGATGAAGCTGAAGGGGAAGGTGAAGCTGAAACAACTGATAAGATGGATCCAGCAGATGCAAAACGCGTAAGGAGGTTAGAACTTTTACAATATTGGTACTTTTCAGATTAGCTGATTAAATACTAGAAACAAAGGAACAGAAAGGAATGTGAGCACTCATATGTGACTATAGGCATTTTTCATACATCTAACGTTAGTAATTGAATTTCTAAATATCATATCGTAGTTAACTTTATTTAATGCATTAAGTAGTTGTTCACTTAAGCTAGTGGCCCTGTATTTCTCTGCCTTCTGCTATGGTTTTCCTAAACTGTATGCTATCTATCTAGCTTGACTTATCAATTCAAGTACTGTAACATGGTAATTTATTGAGTTCCCCTGCTATAGTATGGCCTTAGGTATAATGCAATAACATCAATGCAGTAAACATTATTCTATTGTTTAAAATGCTTTCTGAAGAAGAAAATCTCATGTATGCATGGTGATGTTTCCTATTGTATTGTTCAAGATCTTGTTTCCTTGTGGTCTTTTCTTTGAATTTTTTGTTGTTGCATACTTTGTAGGAAAAAGCTACATATTGTGCTCTAGTTTTTACAAGAGTGATCTAAATCTAATTCTGGGCAATGAAGCTTGAATGTTAGTGTCTAGAAACTAGCATGCTATAAAGTCTAGACGTTTATTGAAGCCCACTAGGTCAATTTTGAGGTCACAAAGAGGTTAGAGAGGAGTGTAAATAACAGTTAACTCTGGATGGAAAGAAATCCAGTTTTAATTTATTTGCTTCAAAAGAGAAAGGAGAAGGGGGGACTAAAAGTAAAGGTAAGGTTCATTGTTTCATTTATTGTGCACCCAGGAAATTGCTATTATTGGAAAAGAATCCTTGTCTGGAGTGCTTTGCATGGTATGAGATGTGTTTACTTCACCAAATTAGCAAATCGACAATATTTTTGTATACAATCACATGTTATCGTTGATTTCATTAATTCATTATTTTAGCATCTGAAAGATGAATGTTATTATCTGTTCACTCGAATTTATTAAATGTAACTCTTATAAATCTTTTGAGTTCACCAGAATGTTATCCAATAGAGAATCAGCTAGACGTTCTAGGAGAAGAAAGCAGGCCCATCTGACAGAACTAGATACACAGGTGTCTTTCTTTAATCCATGTAGCATTTTTCCTATCGAGTCTTATTCATGATTTTCTTACCAAGTTTATCTCATGTTTTCTCTAGGTCTCTCAGTTGAAAATTGAAAACTCCTCATTATTGAAGCGCTTGACAGACATAAGCCAAAAATTCAATGAGGCTGCAGTTGACAATAGAGTCTTGAAAGCCGATGTTGAGACACTGAGAGCAAAGGTAACTGGTTAATTGGGGTATTACTAGTTTATATAAAATATAATTGGAAATTAGAATATTGTAAGCGTGATTCTTTCCTTATTCAGTTTGGGAGAAGGTAAGATGAAATACCTTTCTGTTGGATGAAGTCATGGAACAGACTTTTCTTGACAGTTGATGGTATAGTGCTGAAGTAGAACCTTCTCAGAGTGAGCTACAAAATAGTAGCTGCTAGAGGGACTCTATTTTGAGGGCCATATTGATGAGACCTAGGTTTACTGTATCTGAAGGGGAAAATGTGTAATTTTCTGAAAAGTTTTGGGGACTATGACCCTCTGGTTCTATTGCTGCTCTACTTAGCACATGATAATGTAGTACCTTTGCTTAATAAATCACTGTCTAGAGTGGGAATAGAGTAATATGTTGCTGTCGGTTTTTTACATTTCTCCTTGTCAGCAAAAGTGGAGCTGACAAAACAAAAATTTATAAGAGTGATAAAAGGAGTAGACGGAAATTATCATTAATATCGTTACCCCCTGGCATTACTGATGACAAAAATATACACACACTCTTCTGCTTGCAGGTTAAGATGGCTGAAGAAACAGTTAAAAATGTTACAGGTTTGAGTCCACTGTTTCAAGCTATGGCTGACATATCCTCAATGGGCATGCAATCCTTTCCTGGCAATCCAACTGACACATCAATTGATGCTGCTCTCCCTGTTCAAAATGACCCCAATCATCATCGCTATTATCAATCTCCTTCAGGTGTTCACTTTCAGCCCCATGATCCCATAATCCAGAACGGCCTGGTTGACATTCCACCAATAAATAATATGCTGCAGGTCCCAGCTACAGCAACAGTTGGGGCTAATGGAATAGGGAGAGCAACTGCAGTACCACCAGCAACAGTTGGGGCTAGCGGGTTAGCGAGACCAACTGCTCTACCACCACCAACAGTTGTGTCGAGCGGGATGGCAGGGAGAGCAACTGCACTACCACCAGCAACAGTTATGGCTAGCGGGATAGCGAGACCAAGTGCAGTACCAGTACCACCAGCAACAGCTGGGGCTAGCGGGATAGGGAGAGCAACTGCAGTATCACCAGCAACAGTTGGGGGTAGCGGGATAGGGAGAGCAACAGGTGGGGCTAGTGGAATAGGGGGAGCAGCTGCGGGATCAACACATCCAATGGTGAGCATGGAACATTTCCAGAAGCACAAGTAGGGGTGTTTGGTGGAACTCTGGGTGGGTGGGGGGCAATGATGCATAGAAACTGACCACCTAATTGACGATTTTGTCAAAAGAGATTGGATTAATAACTTAGTTATGTGTTTACATAGCTAATGTAAAATGCATTATTTTCTCTATTTGCAACCTCTATTTTGCTTATGTTATGTGATACAACCGTGAACCTTGCATGGTGTTGGTTCTCTGCCATCATTATACCCATGGTCCACCTAGTTAGGTGAATCACTGACCACGGTTGCAAAAATCGGTCTAGGCTCTAGGCGCCCTTAGACCGTGGTGATTTTTCCTCTAGGCACTTGTCTAGGCGACCGGCCGCCTAGCGCCTAACTCGGCTGACTTGGCTGCCTAGCGTCTAACTTAGCCGAGTTAACTTGTCCATTTCGGTCGAACTTAGCTGAGTTAACTCGTCCATTTCGGTCGAGTTAACCCGATCAGCTCAGCCTGGCTAATTTTTTTCATTATACATTTTTTTATACATTTTATATATATATATATATATATATATATATATATATATATATATATATATATATATATACCTGGAGACTAGTTTGATATTTTAAATCTTTGGATAATTCAAGTATTTGAATATTTCATATTTGAGTATTTTTAATTTTTAATATTATTTTGATGTTATAACTTATGAATTATTATTATTTCATTTATTTGGATGTGTTATTTGATTGAATGTTGAAAACAGCCTCATTAAAATTGTAAAACTGCAAGTCTGCTCTTGTTTTTTTGGCGTCCGCCTAGTACTACCTAGGCCGCTTAGGCGCTAGGCGCTGCCCGACTAGCACCTAACGCCTATTACAACCATGTCACTGACATAACATACATTTTTAATATATTAAATATACATTATTTGTTTATTAAAAGTTCATTATTTGAACTACCAAATAATAAACTTTTAATACACAAATAATATATTTTTAATATAGTAAAAATATATTTTATGTCAGTAATTCACTGTATAACTTGCCCGTTCTATGTCCCCTTGGCACCTTCGAGGCAAGTTCCAAAAGGAAATGGGGTTAAAATTACTGAGCTGAGACGAAAGAGTCTGAGAAAGTGGAGACTGAAATCGTTATGAGAATGTGGAATCTGAAAGGGAATATCATCACAGCAAATTTGTAAATTGTGGTTGTGAATTACGTGCTACAGGTATGCGGCTATCAGGTGTGCGGTATTGGCTTCATATGGTTGTGAATTTTCCAGGAACCCTTCTCCTCTAATTCATGGTTTTGGACTCACTTGCCTCTTGGGAAAAACAAATTGAGCTTACAGTAGTGTAACGTACCTTTCCATATTGTATTGCTTAATGCCAAGACACCAAGAGTTTGGTCAAGTTCAATATGCACAGGTAACAATGTGCAAGACACAACAATGTACGGGAGACATTATGCTCTCAAAAAGACAAAAATATGCACTTGAAGAATGGAAAATATGGACTGGAACAAAGAAAAATAATGCACTCAGAGACAAAAGAATATGACCTTACTTACACAAAATTACATAATATCATTGTATTTTTTTAAAATGTTCTTCATTCTAAACCATTGATCTTGACTGGATCAATGCCTGAGATTTAGTCATATTTTTCACAAATATATGACATACAATAAAGAATAGATCAATTTAATTACGTAAATATTGTTTATAAATGTATCTAAATATTTAAATAATTAGAAACTATATTAACCATAGAAAATTATAATTTTAATTTTATATGCTATGAAAATACATATTTAACCAAATATATGGAAATCTAACTATATTACAAGTATTATAGTGTCTGTATATTGTAAGATCTTATCATTTTTTTTATTTCATAAAAAATTGATGATAACATTATTTTTTCGGTCATCACACTGGTAAAACACTTTATGTAATACACATAAAGACAACATTGGATTACAAAATTGTTATTAGTATTATAAGGAGGAAAAACAATGAAAAAGAAAATTAATGATTGGGTTTGTTCACTGTTGTAGGTCAAAAATTATTTTAAAAATGGACTGCATGATTAAATGATAACGTTACTTGGACGCCTTGAATACACACACACATATATATATAGGGATGCACTCAGGTGCGAATAAGTGCCTAAAAAGGAATATGCGAACGAATCAGTGCGCGACACATGTCCAGATCTAATAGCTTAAAAAAATGCGGTGGTATTTTCGTAAATAATTGAACATCGAAGTGCAAGTAAAATCACTTACAAGTGGACCTACTTTCACCTATAAGTGCATGTAATTTTGCCTTGTTAGCATTCACTTCCCGCAAACATTTATGCACATGGGTGTGCTTATAACTATAGGTGCAACTATTTATAACTATAGGTGCAACTACTTATAACTATAGGTGCACATACTTTCACCTATAAGTGCATGTAATTTTGCCTTGTTAACATTCATTGATATGAGTTCAGCGGGTAGTAATAGTGGTGGGCACTTCGGTTCGGTTTATTCGAACCGAACCGATTCGAACCGAATTAGTAATAGAAAATTAAACGGTTCGGGATTTTGTAACCCGAACGGTTTAGTACCGAACCGAAACGAAACCGAACGGTTTGACAAAAATCGAACCGAACCGAATGCTATATAATTTTTTAATAAATAATAATAATAATAATAATAATAATAATAATAATAATAATAATAATAATAATAATAATAAAGAAGTAAATCCAAGTAACTTGATGCCTGCTCCGCCGTTCAGTTCTCATTTTTACTGGTACCGAACCTTACATTTTTTATTTGATTTCTTTATAGCTTGTTTTCTACATTGCACTTTTGTTGTTTGTCGCAATTGTTCTTTACCTCACAATTATATCTAACTTGAGTTATATTTACAATATTAAGTATTTTCCTTAGTTTCATGTTTTTCTATAAATGTAATGTGATTTACAGTCATTCTAATTTTGATTTCCAGTGCACTATAATTATTTTCTAGTACTGGAATATGTTTCGAGTGCACTAGCAATGATAGATTGTGTCCAAAAATTAACTATATAGTAATTGACACTAGTTCTTTTAATATCAACTATACAGATAGATGATTATTCATCTTATCAATAAAAATATATTCCAACTGAACCAACTGAAGAGTCGGTTGTGCAAAAACATTAACTGATGTTTGGTAATTAGTACTTAGTATTGTGTTTGAACTTTGGATTGCTATTTTGTTATATAATGTTTAGAGTTTGAATTTGGATTATGTGAATATGTATTGTTTGGTAGTATGTTCGAAAAATTAGGAAACGTTGAAATTTGGGGATCTTAAACCGAGCCGAATTAAATCCGAACCGAACTCTAATGTTAAACCGAATGGTTTAACTTTTTTAAAACCGAAAAACTGAAATCGAAACCGAAAAAAACCTAACCGAAACCTGAAACGCCCACCCCTAAGTAATACCCCTGAAAACCACCCGCAAACATTCATGCACCTAGGTGCAACTACTTAATACTTATAGCTATTTGTGCAACTACTTAGAACTATAGGTGCAACTACTTATAACTATAGGTGCACTTAGTATTGGTGTTCAGTGTAAATTTTTACTTGCACCTATAATACATTTTACATGCACTTGTAATACATTTTACTTGCACTTCGATGTTCAATTATTTACGAAAATGCCACCGCACTTTTTTTTAAAAATCAATGTTTCTCATCCATTAGATCTAGACACATGGACAGACAGAATCCATTCCTATTTCGCTCATGGGCGAAGCATTCGCACCTGAGTGCGATTCTATATATATATATATATATATATATATATATATATATATATATATATATATATATATATATATATATATAATGCACCCAAAAACGAAAGAATATAAATTTACTTACACAAAATTATCATAATGTCACCACAATTTTTAAAAATATTCTTCATTTTGGATGACTGATCTTGACTGAATCAATGCTTGAAATTTAGTCCTATTTTTCACCTATACTCGTTAGAAAAGACATTTTTGCACTAAGAAATAGATGCATAAGTAAAAAATATTAAAATTTCAAATTCTTATTTGAATAAGACATTTTGGCATGTAGTGACCTCTCCCATGTGGGAGGTCATGAGATCGAGGCTCAGTGAAGACGTTGTTGGCTTTTATAATAGAGTCAGCAGCATTCAAAAAAAATAGAAAATAAAATTATAAATATTGTTGTATTTATAGAAAAATACATATTTCAAGCATCTCAATTTAAGGAGTAGAATTATATATATTTTTTGAAATACTCATAATTCTTTAGTAGTAGTATCTGTTCTATACTTTCTCAAATATTTTCAGTACAGAGAATTTAAATCCCGGGTTCAAGCCTATGACCATCTATTTAGAATGGTAATCCAGATGTTATCACACTACATGATACTTGGCAATGAGTACAATACATAATGATAAAGGAAGTACAATTTAATGCTCCGTTACATAGGGAAGAATCTTATAACTCTATCATATACGGAGTAATGCATTAAATATATTGAGGTATTTTCCTTCTTTTCAATTAAAATTATAACAGTAGGTTAGGTGGTGGGTATAGTTACTCCCATCCCTATCCACCACCAACTATGAAAGAGTTAAATACAGTATTAGTCCTTTCAAAAATAAAAAATAAAAAAATACAGTATTAGTGGATTATATATTATATTACTCCCTTTGCTAAAAAAATATTGTCCCCTTTGATAAATACATAGACTTAGGAGAATACATTAATGTATTGACTAATAAGTATATCTCCTGGATTACCAATAGTAATTGCAGTATAGGTTGAAGAGCAGTGTTCCAAAAACCGCTTAGGCGCTAGGTGTTGATCGGCCGCCTAGCTTATCAATATATAGGTGGTTTAGGCGGTCGGCTGGCTGGCTAGGCGTCGTCGTCTAGGCCTTTTAGTCAGTCGATTAGCTATTGTTTATTTTTTTAAAAAAAATAGATTATTTCACTCAAAACGACAGAGCGAAATAACTCTAAATTGTTCAAATTCTAATATTTTTAGGTTAATATTTAATATTTATATTTAATATTTTAGTATTAACTATTAAATAATTTATAATTATTAGTATTAAAAAATTTAAAAATTTTAAACATATTTTAAAAAAATAAAAA